AGATTTTCACAATTCTTGGGAGACATTTATCTAAGACGTTTAAAGAGATACCTGTGCAGCTGAGGCAGGATGCACACAGAACTTCCTAGGAGCATTGCTTGCCCTTTGTATTTTGCTGTGGAGGTTCCTTTTCTAGCTAATCTCATTGACATCTCCAAATTCTAATAGATTGCTTTATAGAATCCCATAAAGGGTAGACTGCAGAAAAACAAACTATTTGGGGGGACCTTCCTCAGGTTCAAATTTCAGAGCCTTGTGTGCAAAACTAAATCACACATGGGCCTTTTGTGCTGGAAAGGACTTTACTGTATAGTAATGGGGACAGATTTAATTATGTATATTCCACGACTTGGTGAATGACTGTGTGTTTTTCCTTAGGTGTTTATTCCCTTGCTTTTTATTTTTATTTATTTTTAAACATTTTGGATAAGTATATTACATTCCTCCCTCCAAACGCTCCCAAGTCTCCCCACTTTGACTCCTTCCATACCCCCCAAATGTTAGCCTCTTCTTCCCAGTTATTATTGTTACACTATTGTTACAATTATTATTGTTGAATCCGAGTCTGTTTTTGTTCTTTGTGTACATATGGTTTCAGAGCTCATCCCTGGGAGATGCTAACTCTCCCTCTCTCAACAGTCATGAGTTACCTATAGCTACTTATCAAGGCGTGTGACCCCATAAGTTCAACCTCCTTCCTAGTTAGTATGTCTATTGATATTGCTACTGTTCAGATCTTGATTATGCAGCCATTTCTATGAGAGACTGATGCACAGCAAACATGGAGGTGTAATGGCTCTTACGACATTTGTGACCCTTCTTTTACGTTGGTTCCTGAGCTGTTGAGGCAAGAGCTGAGACGTAGATGTAACTACTGGGACTGGGCTCCCCTTGATCCATTGAGTCTGCATTGCAACCAGTTGTGTTTTTTTTTTTATTTTTTTTTTTTTTAATTTCAATTTAGAACAAGCTTGCTTCACATGTCAATCCCTTCTCCCTCTCTTCTCCCCTCTAACCCTTCACCATTCCCCTCCCCCCTCCTGCCTCTGCTCCCCAAATTACAGTTGTGGTTTTGTTGTTGTTGTTTTACATTTATCCTTTTTATTTACGTAATCAAATTGCTCTCCAGTGGTATCCGAAAGTATTTATTGCCACCATCCCCAAATGCAAAAACACAGATTTTTGTTGCTCTTCAAAATTTTACCAATATGATAAGCTACAAATAACATTGTATGGTCACCTATTTGGAATGCATAATATTTTCACTAATTTACTTACACTTTCCATAAATGATTCTTTGTATCTGGAAGCACTTGAAATTTCTTGAGAAAATTCTAATTTATTCAATAAGATCACAACTGCCTGCAGTTACCACAGACCTTCTAGGTAAACCCAGTGATCCTGTATCAGGTTCTGTTTTACCATATTCTTTGGGAGAGTACTTTCCTGTCAAAGACAACTGCTTATTTGATCAGCAATCTAATTAGGGAAATGTGATCTCCTTACATGGTTTTTACTTTTGAAACCATGTTAGCTTTTTCTTTCCAGGTGTGGTTTTATGTGATGGGCTCTATTTACTGCAAAAAGAAGCTTCTTTGACAAGAGGTGGTAGCCACACTTAACTGTGGGTATAAGGATAAGGTTGGCTATAATAGATTTTACTATAAAATCTATAACCTCACTAGCCTCTTAGCTAAGTTTCTAGGATAAGGCATGGTTTCCCTCCGGTTAGTGGCCATAATTCCCATTAGACGGCAGTTGGTTCCCACTAACATGTGAATGTCACTTATTTCACCTTTATGGATATCTTGCCATTCTGGCTACTGCTGTGATTTTATGGGTATTCCAGCTGGGCAGGAATATTAATTGCTTCTCTCCCTTGGTAGCTTCCAAGAAGCATGGAAGCTAGACCACAGGAAGAAGGCTTTCAAGTCATATCCTGCTTAAATAACCTAAGTCCTGTATCTCAGAGTACAGTGTTTCAGCAATAGGAGCTTACCTTTAAGTTTTGAGGGGCAACCAAGGATAACAGCCATTGTTTGGGGCTTCTGGTGGACTACCCTGACTAACCATTCAAAAGGAGATTTCTCATGCCTGGTATCGGATTTTGTTAATCTGCAGTTCTTGTGGGAATATCGTTAATCCTAGTGTCATAACTTCCTTTAATATGTGTGTGTGTGTGTGTGTGTGTGTGTGTGTGTGTGTGTGTGTGTGTGTGTGTGTGTATGTGTGTGCACTTATATGTATTGTATATGATTTTAGGTAAGCATGTACAAAACAAATCCATGAGGCTTTCTCAAACAACCCTGGTGACATTTGTCCTTTTTCCCTCCTTCTGTATTGACCTCCCTATTGTGTTCCTATTTGGAACCACCCTTCCCATTCCCAATTCATATCACCTGTATCATGCTGTTCTCTTACTGTTTCAATTCTACCTGTTGACACAGTAACGAACCATGTCATGGGCTTGTGTGTGGCTGTGAGACATGTTTGAACTTTAGGCTGGACTTTGCTCTTTGCTTGCTGCGTCACCCTTCTCAGTTGCTTCCCCTTATAGGTTATGTTTTTCGTATTTATGAAAGAAGACTTGTATAATAACTACCTCACAGGTGATGTGAGGTAGCAGAGTAAATGGTACTTTTGAAAGTGCTTAGTAAACAGTAATATTCATTAGGAGCAATAATTAGGTCGATTAATTTTTTCTTCAGCAAGTTATTTAATATCAGACTCTTTGTCAAGTTAAATCTTTGAAAACAGATGCAATTGTATAATGAATTTTTATTGAATCAAGAAGTTAGAGTCTGTTGTAGTGGTACACTCCTTTAATCCCAGAACTAGGGAGGCCGAAGCAGCTTGATCCCTGTGAGTTTGAGGCCAGCCTGGTCTACATAGTAGTAAGACAGCCAGAGCTACATAGTGAGGCCCCATTTTGAAAAAGTAAACAAACAAAAATGTTACATAATCATAGTAATTTTCATATTTTCCTTTATTTCCTGTTTGCTAAGCAACTTTTACAATTTTTGATTATCTTTACTAAATGATACAACAAAGGGGGATGGTTGTGAATGATTTGTTTTGGGTATAATTGTTAGAATTTTTGATTTCAAAAAAGACAATGAAACTCTAGTTGAAAATATGGTTTTTTTTGGTTTTGTTTTGTTTGTGTATTTCTAGCAGAACACCCAAAACATGAGAGCTATGTTTGTGCTGTGGCTGGTCTGGACACTTAGAACGTTCTACTAGTAATTGTACCTAATCTTTATATACCATGTTCACGATAGTTTCACTTTTTCCCTTGTTCTGTTCTGGGATAAGAAATTTTTTTATTAATTTTTAATTATAGCTAAGTGTAATAATATATCAGATGCAAATTCTGGTAGCTCCTTTGAATCACTTATATATAGCAGAGTGTTTTCATCAGTTTGTACCTCTCTTCCTGAGACAGATGTTGGTATCAGAACAACCACACTGTATAGATAGATCAATTATTTCAGGAACTCAGAGATGCTGGGCCTTTTTCAAGAACATGAGATCATACATCTCAAGTAAATCCAGCACTGCTATAATATTTTTCACCTCAAGTGGCACTCAAGGTCAAAGTTACCAATTAAATTTTAACACTTAGATTTAAAATTTTCCTTCTATCTGGTATTGGAGATTTAAGATTGAGTTTTTGTTTGTATGCAGTATATCGGTATGCCACAGCATGTGGTCTTTTCACCGAGTTCATA